TGCTGTACTTCATTGTAGCCCCAACTTGTGAGATTGGCGACCGTATAGTCGATTGTGTTGAATCTATCTGACCGCACGAGCGTGATGGCGTCAGAAAGGATTGCGCGGCCGACTGAGTAAGTTGGGCAGATTCCGCAACCAGGATTGCGGACGGGCTTAATATCCTCAATCATGAGACCCGGATAAAGTTCCACCATGTCAGGATCCGCATACAGCTTCTCCAGGATGTTGGCAATCTCCTCGTTTGAGTTGATATCACTGAATTTATCATATCGTTTGAGTCCAAAGAAGTCACGAAATTCGTTCAAGGACGCAACCTGCCATTTGCGGGCTTGGTTGATACCAAGGACTTCGACCACCTTCAGCGCCTTAGGGACCATACGGGCGCCAAAGGCACCAGCTGGGTCCTCCATGGCCTCTTTTAGAATGCGGACAAGGTCCTCGTCTTTGAATGTCCCGTCGGCCTGACGTTCTAGGCCGTCAAATGTTCGAACACTAGGATCTTTGGGAATACTCTGTTCAAAGGCCACCAACGCCTGACCAAGCTCGACATGGCTCACGTTACTCAAGTCGTCTGGGTTACGGCCTGGGAAAAGCTTAAGAAAGAAATCATTAATCCAGCGCTCGTCTTTTTTGGAGATGCATGAATGAAATCGGTATATCAGATTGAACTCGACGCTGACCTGATTGCCAACGCCCCGAGGAACACCCTCGCCATCATATTGGTTGCCTATTTCGATCCTAGGGTCCAATGTCCAATCACTCTTAGAGTGGTGGGTGTTGGTGATGGCTCGCAAGTAGTCATGCAGGGATATGTTGACATAAAGCCCGCCAACGATCAAACGAGCGGTGTTGAAGATGTCATGGTCTTGCTTGGCTACAGCTCGAGCCTTGTCTTCAGGGCTGGCATTTGGCGGGCATGCCAGTGTAAACCGTCCATTCTCGTTGATTTTTAATAAGATGTCGGCAACGTAGTTGTGGAAGCGGCTGTAGAGGACCAACATGACATTGACACCGGCGGGCTGCCCTAATAGCCGTTTCTCATGGAAGGTGTCGGGCTTCAACTTGCCCTCTTTCATGGTACGGATTTCCAACTGATCCTTGAGTGATGAACCGTACAGGGGCGCCAGGTCAAGATATGACGACGTATCAGACTTGTTCATGTCCGTACGATTAGTGCGAAAGATGTCATGAATGATGATAGATGCATGGTAGAAGAGCATAGACGAGATGCCAGCAGGATTCTCAATGAAGTTATCCTCATCGCGGGCCATCAAAAGATCAAAGAGTAGACCCGGGTCAGGCTTGACCCCTTGAAGCCGCTTTAGCGGACGGACAGTCTTGGCATAAGGCGTACCGGCTTTTCCCAAGTTAGGCTGAAGGACACTGTTGAAGCTCCCATCAGGTAATCGGTATTGATAGGTACCGTCGGGGACTTTTGGCATGCGCTCCCGTAGCATTATGTCGCTATCAGGAGCCTTGAACTCAATCGTGCTATAGGCCTCATTGTCGTCTTTGTAAACTGGCTCGTGGGGATTGACAACCTCATACTTGACATCGCCTCCAACATAGCTCAGTGGTGGATGTTGGATATTACTCCACAGCCTGTCGATGAACTTGCTGGTGAGTCGAGTACGAAGTTTTGATGTGGAGGGTAGGCTTGTAAGAATGCTGATCAGGAGCTCGGTGGTGCTGTCTCTTGTCAGAAACGTTCATTCCAGATGCTGAATGCTACTAACCCCTTCTTATCGTCAATTGGTTCTCCTTTATGTAAGAGTTCTCTCAAAAGTTCTATAATCTCCTTTTTGGACGTCCGATTTTGGACGCCAACAGCGTTATTCCAGATATATTCGGCAATGTCGGCGGCATCAGTCATAAAATGCGATGATTCTGTACGGGGATCCCCGTAAGTCTCACCAGCTTGAAACTTCTTTTCGAAGGACATGTTGGTGTCTGAGAAGTGAAATGTGGGGGTATCAAGTTGTTTTTGTTGTTATAGTATGAAAACAGAATTCAGACGAGTAGTCCGAGACTGCCAAATGGCTCCTCTTATTTATACAAAAAATTATTAGATTATCGAGCACCCCGGCGGGCCTGCAGCAAGCAACTCAATTGTTATATTAGCTGCAGCCTTGAGCCGAGTCGTGGTGGTAAGAAGTCAGCCGCATACCATAGCCTCCTTCTACATGATCCCAGCGTAGTATCGAGTACCTGCAGCTGTAAACAATCTCGGCGTAGGCGGCAACAGCCAGTCAAGATATTGGAGCGGAGAATGTACATGAACACGTTTGCATGGAGAAAGATTTTAGGGCGTTATGCGAAGATCAGTCGATAAGAAAACTGCCTTGATTCGCCAAGGTGGAAACATTTGACCCCAGAGGGCCGGGCGTGCTGCATGAAAGCAGCATCTCGAAAATATAGCAATTTCATAGCAGAGGATTCTGATTGGTGAGATGGAAAACGGCCAGCTGCTGGGCTTTGGGGCAAATGTTTCTTGTACATCGAGTTCTTCGCTGTTGCATCAACGTTTCGGTCTCCACTCTTTCATACCGAATGAATGAAAGCCGCACAGTTACATCTCGTCAGCCTGCGGGATACGGAGCGCAATAATAAGTTTCGGGCGTAGTCTGACTCAGCGTTAGTTCCTTGACGCCCCTTACGCCATGCCATGTATTATGAACGGGGCAATCGATGGATATAGGTGAGCCGGTTGCTCCGTATTCTCGGCAGGAACTCTTGGCACAGCCTCGGTGTGCCACATGGCTCGTTTAAGCCTCGAGTTGCATTGGCGACACTGACGCTCTGGGCACTCGGGACAAAATATCGGCATAAGCCCAGTAAGGCTCGGGGGGTACGATCACCCGACTTGTACGGGATGAAGCTAGGTGGTGTTTGCTTGAATGGCTCTCTCATGACTGCAATTGGATGGAGTTATGATGAATAGCTAGACATCAGGAAAAGTAACACCTGACTTTGGTGGAATATAGGACGGGGAATAGAAGAAACTAGATGTCGGAAACAGGTACAGGAAAAGAGGGCACTATCATCGAAGAATGGCCACTGCGCCTCGTCTGTCACTGGCTGAGACCCAGCGAAGGTTTGTAGAGTTCGACACGACTGCACGTATTTACAAAATAGGGGGTGTGTGGCTCAATTCTAACAATGATAAGAATGAGTTCGTTGGTACGAGGCAAATCCCCAAGTGTACGAGGGAAAAGTACAGAGTTGCTATTCGACTTTATTCATTTTGTATTCAACATTGAACAGCCCCTCGACCCACTTCCAACGCCCAGCATCGCTCCTTCCAACTCAGACAATGGACCAGCCAACTGCTCAAGTGGAGCTGCGACGAATCACAAGCCAGCTTCCTGTCCAGAGTAGATTCAACCACACATGCAGCACCTCGAGTCCTTGACACTTGAGCACTTCAACTTGCTACCGACATTTGACTCCCATTGGCCTCGAAACCAAAGCTTCAACTGCCTAGGTAGTTCAGAACCCAACATATTCGACCTGGTTCGATGTTTTTGCAGGCAAAAACAAGATTTGTTACCAAGGTCGTTGCGAATAATCCATCCAGCAAACTGGCCCGATTGCGCGGCCCTTTGTTCAGGAGTGCCTAGGAGCACCACCGCCAACCCCAGGGACACAACTCTCAACTCCGCGATCATCATCTGAGGAATATGCTCGTCTCTCTCACCGTCGGAAAGGTTGACGCTGGAGTCACGGTCCTCCTGACGCCGGACAAGCGGCTGGTATGCCAAACCTCTCCAACGAGTCGCCTTGAAATATACGATTGGTTTCTAACAGCTTGCACAGATTGAGTTCCCCTCCATCCTCCTGCCCCCGAACATTTCATCTGGTAGCATCGTCGACATCGCCGTCTCTCAAAACAACGAAAAAGAATCACTCGAAGAGCAAAAGTTTCGCGACCTACAAGATCGCATATACCAGTCCTTTGGCGCTTCTGAGCCTGCCAGCCCCGTTCTCCGCTGTCGCAATGCCACCCAGACGTCAGTTGTTCTCGAGTGGGACCCAATTGAGCTTGCCACGGCCGATTTGATATCCCTCAGTCTGTATCGCAATGGCCAAAAGGCCGGAAACATCCCCCGACCGATGCAGATGCACAGCACCAAGATCAGTGGCTTGGCTGTCGATACGGAGTACACATTCCACCTTGTGTTGAGGACCACTGCTGGGACACGTATGAGTGAGAAGGTGACTGTGCGTACGCATAAGATGACCGATTTGAGCGGTATCACCATCACAACCGGCATTTTGCCCGGAGCTCTCAAGGAAAACTTGGGCAAGGCTGTGGAGCGTATCGGCGCCAAGATCGCGGATGGGGTGCGCATCGATACTACACATTTTGTCACCACAGAGGGGAGAGGTACAGCTTGGGAAAAGGCCGTCGAAAACAATATTCCCGTGGTACGGCCGGAATGGGTGGACGCCTGTGAGAAGAATGGCCGCATTCTGGGTGTCACCAAGTTCTATCTGGATGCAATGAGGCCCGGGCCTCCTAGTAGCGAGACCATCTCACCCCCGCCGGTTCCTGTCAAGGACGAGCCCCCGGCCCCCGGCCCTGAGGCCGCGAAGACGACAGAGGCGACTAAGAATGGGGATGAGGTAGATGAACCAGAGGCGGAAGTGGAGCAGGAGGCCGAGAAAGAAGCAGAGGAAGAGCCCGAGCAAAAGTCCAAGACGCCATCGCAAGCCGAAGAGCAAAAAATGAGACTCGAAGACATGGAAGAGCAAAAGGTCGCCCTACGTCCAAGCACCTCAAATCATGAAGGCGACGCGGCCGAAACACACGGAGGCGACGACGGCGCAGGCAGAGACGTAGGAGAGAAGCCATCTGGCACACCAGACGGCGCGTCCTTCCAGGAAGTGGAATTGTAGGTTCAGCCATGGTAAAGAGTTGAAGAGGGAAAAAAAACCTATTTCTTTGAAGAATAGATGAAATAATACTCATTTAATGCCCCTGATTTCATTCCATCCTAAGGCGGAATCTCCTCGCCCTTCCAATCCAAACACCTCCCCCGTTGACCAAGATGCAACCCATTCACCACGCTGACCATTCTCTCCGCCGCGTACTCGGGACTGAACAGCTGCTCCTCCGGAACCCTCTCCCAAAACTCCCTGCTCAGCCCGGTCCTCACCGTCCCGGGATGATACGCCACGGCCACGGCCTTGTCGCCACTCCTCGCCCGGAGCATCACATCCAAGCTCTTGGCGACGCTATTCACCGCAGCCTTGCTGGCGCGGTACGAGAACCAGCCCCCCGACCTATTATCCGCGACGGACCCGACCCTCGCAGACATGAACACCCACGTAGCGTGTGCGGGCAGCGCGTCCGCCTCCCCGCCGGCCATGTCCGTCCCGCGCCGCGGCAGAAACTCCGCAAAGTGCTTCATGAGCAGCAGCGGCCCCAGCGTGTTCACCCGGAACATGGCCAGGCTCGCGCCGGCGTCTACCTGCGCGGGACTCTTCTCGGGCGTCAGGACCCCCGGCACCGCAAGCGACAGGTGCAGGTGGTGGCGGTCCGGGGGGAACAGCCGCCGCGCCGTGTGCGAGGCCGCTTCCACCGACGGCGGGTCCGTCACGTCCACGGACACGAGGTGCAGGCGCGAAGAGGCCGAGTCGCCGTGCTGAGTGCCGTCCATGCCCTTCAGGATGGCGGCCTTGGAAACCTCCGGGTTCGGATGGCGAGTCGTCGCCAGGACGGGGAGGCGTGTCGTCCGGAGCAGGTGGCGCGTCAGGGCGAGCCCGATTCCGCGGCTGGACGGGCATATGAATATCCAGGGGGTGGACATTTTTGTCTTGTCACTTGCGTTTGCATTTGCATTTGCATCTGTGTTGCGTTGCGTGGGCCTTGGTGAGTATTGGTGTTTATGTACTCCGTACCCTGGATGAGAGATGCAGTGCTAGCTACGTCATTGACTGAGTTTGCTTGTACTCTTGACTTGTGAACTATACTTTTCTGGGTAAATGGTTATTCTGGAGATGTTCGAGGTAGATTTATGTCGAAGCCAATTTCAAGCCCTTTGAAATAACAATACTGGTTTTCACTTTTTTTCCTTCTCCTTTCTTTTACCCGCAGGTGACGAGTGACTACTGCTTTAGCTGGCCCGTGTAAGACGTCAGTTACAATGCGCCAACTTTATTCGACGACAACTCGACACTTCGAATTCCCGTTCTTAAACAGTATCACATGTTCAGCTAATAATCACAACCTAGCACTGTACATAGTTAATATTCATATCCAGGTCCTGATTTGACATCACTTTTTGGCATATTGATCCAAGGGAGGATATACCCAAGGTGACGCTCAATTCTACCATGTTCGCACCCTGCACCCATAGTTGCTGCCGGCACACCCAATTTTATCTGTCGTATATTTTGTTTTTGCGCACTATAGTGTTGAGATTGCAGACCGTTGCCCTGATGAAAGAAATATTCGCCATGATGAAAATTTGGAAATGGACTTTGTACACCTTCATTAACCTTACATGGGGTGGGATTGTCCACCTTTCGTAATGACTGGCGATTGCGTCGTTCCCTGCCATCGCCTTGCCTCTCCCGCCAATTCCCTCATCAGCGGCTCAATAGTCCCCAACCCGCTTGCGTCGTCACTCCTGCTCACACTATCACTCCATGCATCGTCGTTATACGCATGCCTAGTCAACATATCCAGGAGTCTGGCCTGGGATAAGCTAGGCCGCCGTGTTAGTCGCGTCTTTTCCATATCCCGGTCCATCCTGTCTGCTGTGCCTGAAGTTTCGCCATCGGATGCCCAGGCCCTAATTCCCTCTAATGGCCAGTTATTGGAAGACCCTATAGTTTTATTCATGTTGTCCAAAACAGGCACTGGGGCCCGAAGCCAGTCATCGCCGTTGCGTTCCAACCTACGGAGCCGGCGCTCCATGTCTCGCAACCGATGCTCGCGGTACGCTTCGTATAAGCGCATGACCTCCTTGTCTGCGTGGGAAACCGAGCCATTCCCGTATGCCACTCCACCCGAGGCTAACTGTTGCGTCCTTGCTCTGGCCATAGCCATTGCATCGCGTGCCCTGCGCTCCTGTTCCCTGATGGCCTTCCATTCTCGTCGACGGGTCAGAGACGTGCGATCTGACACGTCATGTTGCTGTGATGGCGAGCCACGCGTGGAGGCTGGCGGGGTCAGAATACTTGGTGTGTTGACAGTGGTTGAGGGCAGTGTTATTTCAGAATCCTCCTTTGAAGACTTCTTTGCAGGCGCCGTCTTGGGACGGACGGGTCCGCCCTTTTCATCAGCAGAAGACGGCTCGACATCCGTCACCACCATGAGACCACTCAAGGTTAAGGCTAATTGGCCCGGCATAGCGGTTGACGTCTTGTCCGGAACCGCCGCTGCTGGTCGTGACGATGGTTGGGCAGCTGATGGTCGCTGTATCGCCTTGGAAGCATCTCGTTCCAGCTGATCTTTCACTTTTGCATTCCACACGGCTGCCTCAATGTCGCGCCGCTTTCTTTCTCTCACAATATCCTTTCTATTCCAACTTGACCCTGAGCTTGCGTGTCGATAGTCCTCCGAATGTGAAAGAACATGAGCGTCTGTCGTCGAAGCAGTATTCCGATTTTGGCTACCATCCCAGCTTAGTGCTGGACTTGAGTCTCTGATGTAGGACGGTCCGGATTCTGATCTGCGAGCACCAATACTGTTCACAGGGTTGTTGTTGCTTATTGAAAGTGCTCGCTGTGGAGCCGGGGTTAACGAGTTGTACAAGCATTTCGACCGAGCGACACTACTCGCTCCCGCAACATGGTCCTGTGGTGATATCAAGCCGTCGATAGATGGTGGGTTTCTCGCAGATCTATTGGAAACCATACTAGAAGCTCGTGCAGGGTACGCAGAGCGCCGAAACACCGCCGGATTTTGTTTGCCTACTGAGCCTTCATCTCTTGATGGACTTCGCGAGATATGCCATGGCGCTGAGCTGTCATCAAGTAATGGCGTATCAAACTTCGTTGGTAGAATCCCAATATAATCATGGACTTTGTCCGTTAGACTATTGGTTGGCTTGTGCGGCGGTAACGGAGGAGGGCGGTGTCCCCGGGAGTTCAAATATGGCGCTCGAGATTTAGTAGCAACCAAACCGGTATCTGACTCAAATGCCTCCGCCACGGGCCGCAAAACGGTAACAACGCCCTTTTCATTCCTGAACGTTCTGATGGGTCCTTTGCTTGGTATTCCAATTTGCGTGTCGTGAGTGAAGACAGGATACTGGGACCGGATCTCCAACCCATACGGAGTTGCCTCGATTGGAATCGAGATGGCAATGTGCCTATGCCCTCCACTGGTGACGCCTACCACTGCCGAGTCTGGCAGTTGGATGTTTTGTGGCTGTTTGGGCGTGGATTTGCTCCTTCTTCCTATTTTCTTGATTTTGGACCATCTTCCGCGGCCATGCCCGTCATCTCCGTATGGTATCGACATGAAGTTATCCGGCGGCGGCGGATGATTCTTCAGAAAATCTACTAGAGCAGCCACGTCATCTCTGGCTCGACGAGCACGAAGTCTCTCCCCCAGCAACATTGTGTCGTGTAAGTCGCCCGCGTAGAGGTTGCTGCTGACGCTCTGAAACTGGAACTCTGAGCAAGGTCGCTCCAACTTCTTCTCCGCACGATGATGCGCTTCCGTGCCAGTATGGCTTCGGCAACGGGAGTAGAGAGGGTTGGAACCCAGATGTGACAGAGAAGAGTCGGCGTCATCTCTTGATGACAGTATAAATCCCCTGCCGAGTGAGACTGGATACGTCATGGCGACTACCTAATATAAGAGGAAAAGCTATTCGTCAACAACACCAGTTCCTGATATTGGTAGCCTGCCCTTGCATGCATGTAAGAAGGAGTCGGTCAGTTTCGAGGCGCAAAACGGAACGAAAAGCAGTGGTTGGAGTCTGAACAAATAATAACACTTGCTTCCGATCTTTTACTGGACACTGCTTAAGACAGGCATATGTCTGTGTTGCTGCAAGGCGTGGACCAAGGCCGTGTCTCACTGGAAGCCTTCTCGACACAGAAACAAGCTGAAGGGCTGGATACGGATCGGCGAGAAGTCCCGAGTTCTCAATTCTAGGGAATTGACCGAATAGAGACTAAAGAAAAGGAAAATATTACAGACCAGCGCCAAGATTGACTGTCAAATTTGGGGACAGGCTCCGAATCGGCTACAAGGGAAAGAGAAGAAGAGGAGGGAAGGGGCCCATAGGACGGGCACAAAGAAAAAATATCGATATGATGCAGAAGAGGAGAAAGAAGGTTCCAGTTTAATACATCGGATAGAAAGGAAAATCTCAAATAAACGGCTTCGTCAAGAGAAACTTGAAAGGAGAAGCCTGGCAAGAGACCGGCAATTCCAACGGCCCCCGAGCCGACGAAGAAGAGCTTAAACTTTTGGAATCCTTGTTAAGGCATTGGGGAACCGGTTCTCGCAACTCTTTGCTCTCTTCACGATTTACAGCTCTGGAGGCCAACAGCGTACAATGTAGGTGGTATCCGGCAGGGTGGTAACGACTGGGGTCCCTTGAATCGTTTATAAACAAGCGACTGGACGGCCAACTTCTTTATTAATGAAACAGAGCCGTCCTTGGCTATAGTCTCTTGTCCTTTCGGCGTCACATCCGGGCGACGGTCGTCACTAGCTTTTCCTCCCAGACCGGGGGGCTGGTTGGTGGGCTCATGAACTGACGGACACGGTGCTATCGTCCTTTTTGTTGGTTTTCGAGATGACAATAATACGGAGGAACGCTCATAGCGTGATACTGGGATCCTGGGTTGACAATACAATATTGTCTTCTTCGTTATGCTCAGATGATAAGGTATCCTTGCATCTTGGTCGAGCTCTGACCCTGCGTGACGAGAGCAGCTCTTGCATCTCTGGCCCCAATGGCGGATGGAGGAGGTTCTTCCCATGGCCTTGGGATTTCTGCTCAGAAAAAGAAACACCCGGTCCTAGCGTGATGACGAACCCGCAGCTCTTCTTAGCCCATGGCAGGGATTGGATGACAGGGTCGAGATTGCACGATGGATGGCCATCGGGTGAGGTTGAACATTGCCGCGGCCCACTCGACGATGCAAGAGGCGTCGCTCGGCCACCGAGAGACGTAAAATGTGGGTGGACAAAGATGGCAATGGGCAGCGAGAAAATGGAGGCGGAGACCCAGCGACCCAGTGACCCAGTGCCCCAGTGCCCCAGCGCCCCAGTAAGCTGGCTCGCTCTCATATGCAACTAATTACGGAGTACATTAGCTGTCTGGTCGCTTGTTTGTCGACGGGGTCCTAGTCTTGCAGCAGTTAAGCGCAACCAGAGATGCTAGTCGATTGCGACCTCGAAATCATCCTCGGATAGCGTACCGCAGCTGGCTCTATGCACAGAGAAGCCGGCGAAAGGCATTGATCAAGGTCCAAGGACAGACACCCTGGACGTTCTCCGAGAGGAGGACGGGGCAACCGAGAGAAGAGAATAAGACTAGCTGCCAAGGCTCGCATGCATAACGGTGTTCTGCGTGCGGTGACATCTGGACATGGAGGAGGTGACGAGGCTGTGATGGCCGCAGCAAACCCCAACAATAAACTGGGCATTCGCCCCTTTGCCGGCGCGCTTGTCCTTGTCGCCAAATGCTCCGGATACCCATTACTACTACTACTACTATATGATTATTTCCATACCCCAGTTCTAGCCTGTGCGTCTACTTGTTGATTCCGGTGAGCTGGCCCAAATGTCCAGGGGTCATGTTAAATAATCTCCAACGGCGAACCAGTCGACCCAACAAAAAAATGGGGGCCGCCGTTCTGCGCCCTCCATCACGCCAGCCATGAAAGGAGAGTTGTTTGCTAAGCCGGATAGGATACGGGGTAACATCTCTTCGTCAACTGATGGTGGACTGACCGAAAGCCGCGGAAAACTGTTGAAGCGAGCAAGCAGAATGCATGGGTAGCAAGGCAACGAGGGCAATGGCAGCATTGTACCAAGTAATTGATGGCGTCAATCATCACACCAGACCTTGGGGGCCAGGCGCCACTTCGACGATCGACACTGGATGTCGCTCCGTTGGCAGCCACGAACCACCCACCACTTGCCCATCACCTCTGGACCTTGGCGTAGAGAGACAGTCGATACATACTTGTACATACAGTATGTCCAACCAGACATGTTTCCCTTGCACCTTGCAAGCAACCAATGCAATGCCCAATACCAAGATACTTAAACAAGGAGTACGGGGCCTCATGACAAATATTTTACAACAGAATTGTCCCAGTTGCCTACCGTGCCCACAAAGCAACCCAGGCAATACCGAGTACATGATAGCCATGTTGTCTGTCATGACAGGGTTCACGACCACGGCAGAGACTCACATTACGTAGCATTACGAACTGCCAGTGGTAGTCACAATGACACGTACAAGTATGCACAACAGGCGAGGAACGCAGCTGCGCATCGCATCGCATCGCATCTGAGATCACCACCAGCAAGGGTTTCTTGCAGCCACAAAAACCTGGGGCGCTCAGGGGTTTCGCCATCGGTGCCTTTCCATCGTCACGGTGACTGCCGTTGTATGTACGACTTCCCCTGGTGAACAATTTCGTAGTGTTTTAAATTTCGGGAGAGAATCTGAACAAGGGTGGGTGCCCGAATTCTCCCTGGTCCAAAACCCAACCTCCATGTCTCTGCCCAGAGAAGCAAGCAGGAACCAATCTGAGACATAGATACGGCTGTCGTTGGCTGAGACATTTCATGCTTCCTCCTTGCGGCATTGTCCAAACAAGAATCAGTTACTACTACGTAAGAACTACGAACGGAGTACCTTTCCATACATAATACGAGGTAACTTAGGTAGTTACGGAGTAGGTACTACTGGGTAGATCGGAATGCATCAATGGTAGCTAGCACCCAGGAATAGGGGGATGTCTCCCTAGCACAAATGCACACCATTGTGTTCAAGTGAGTATCGCAGCGAAGCAACTATTTCCTGGTGTCAATCGTTCGTGGAATAGCCGCATCATCAGCCATCATCAAACTTTGGCTGGTCGTTCTCATCCATCCCCATCAAATCTTCTATTCTCAATACCCGAGAAGCCTACCAAAACCCATCTCTACGTGCGCTCCCTATTCAAATCTAACCCTTAATGAATGCACCACATGCGCATATCACATGGCATCATCAAGAGGGAAAAAACGCCTATACAAATGCTCCCCACCCGTCTATGTTATGCGCCTTCGCAATGCTAATGTGCCATCCCACTTTCATTGAAAGAAAGCAAAATAGTCTTCATCTCCTACGACATCACCTCTTTTTGGGCATAAATAAACTTGGTTTCGCCTTCTTCCGTGGCGCCGTTGGTATAGGCTTATTCATCGACTATTTTGCAATCGTCAGCTACGTTTCCAAGACAACAGTGACATCCGCCTCAAAACGCACCTTTGTACCAGTCACGGAGCTACTGGGTTGACCCGATGTCGACATCGACCCATTCGGTGCCTGATTCATCGGAATCGCTTTCGAATTCATCGCTGGAGGAGGGGGTCGTTCCGGGGGTACCATCCCGAGGACTGACATTGCCGACGGATCCTTGGGCGGCGGCGGCATCGTCTGTTTGACAGGTTTTTGTCCGAATTTGCCCATCAGGCCGCCTCGCTGCGTACTCGCAATCTGCTGTTGTATTAGAAATCTGTGCTTGGTTGCTGGTTGTTTGGACTGCCACTGATATGCCACATACTCTCTTTGCTGCTTGCTGTCCAGGCTCTGACCCGTCCAGCGGTCGCTTCTTTGGCTCAGAAGCTTGGTTATCTGAAGTGTGTATCACGGGCAGACCCGCTCCGCGTGGAACAACATTCGGTATACTGCCGTCAGTAGTCTTTCGGGATTGGCTTCCGTTGCTCAAGGCCGGCAGGTCAGTCGATGGTCCTGATTTGATATTCTTCACACCATCCATGATAGGTTTTGCAGCAGGGGAGTCGAGCATCTCGATATCTTTGGGAGATTCCTTTTGAGGCGCTTGGTAGCTTGACGGGCTTGCTCTTCGTAAAGGCCGTCTGAACATGCCTAGTATATCGCCCTTTGTGTATCTGTCTCTGGCTTTGGCATCTTCAATCAATTTCTTCCAGAACTCACCCTGAACCAATGCTCTAGAGTCTCCTAGAATCCACAGTGATGATTTGGCACGAGTCAAACCAACATTCATACGGCGAATATCCGTCATAAAACCAATACCTCCCGTTGAGCTGGCTCGTACGCAGGAGAATATGATAATTTCACATTCTCGACCTTGAAAGGCGTCTGTAGTGTTGAATTCGATGATATCAGTGATATTTTCGCCGTATCGACTTGTAAAACGATTCCTCAGCTCAAACAATTGAGCTTTATATGGGGTAATGATGCCAATCTTGCCTGTAAGATCACATTGCTTGTACTCTTTACTGAAACGGTCATACATCTCCATGGCAACTTGCAGTTCTCTAGTGTTAACCAGTGATTGACCTTTTCTGCCTTTTTCTTGAACACCCTCCACATCAAAGAACCGATAAGGGCCAAGGAGAGCACTCTGATGCCAGGGCTGGTGTCGAAGCTGCAGCATGTCTTGCCCGTCTTGGAGCTGTCCTTCGTAGAATTCTTTGCTGGGAAACATGCTGATCTCTGGATGCATTCGGTATTGCATATCGAGTAGATGGACAGACTTGGGATGGTTCTGTTGCATTCGAACGAACAAACTCTGGTCGTAGCCAAAACGTGCAGCAGACTGAGACAAAACGGTTGGAGG